TGTATTTTGTAAATGACTGGGCCATTCATGCTCCACCCACAAATTCATTCTTTCCTAGCAACTGTTGCCAGGTTGGACAAGCTTCATAGAACTTCAATAAAAACTCCAAATGTAAAACTGTAACACATTTTGTTTACAGTTCAATGCTATGTTACCGAGCTGCACTATGTTGAAAACAAAACCGATGAATTTGCAATGATGCTAACGTTAGCTTGATTACATGACAAATGAAAGCGTACATCAGATTTATATCCCTCACAATATGACCTTTAAATATCAGTTCAAATAATATTGCATAATATCTTGGCTGCAGTTGTGCTCTACATTTTCTCTTTAGGTAAAACAGGATTTCTTCTGTAAAGCTTGCCCAACTTTACAACACTCGCTGTGAAAGAGCACATTTGTGGACAGAGGATGGGTAAGTCAATTAACAAGCCATCCTGGTTTGACCACTTAGAGCAGAGAAACACTGGTTTATTTGTTAAGTTTTGCTGGAGGGAGCTAACAGCAAAAATGAAGGGTGAAAAAACTAAGCAAAGTGCCAAAGACGTGTGATGGATGTGATGAACGGAGGGATGAGGGAGAGAAAGAGCGGAAGACGGCGGCTCTGAGTGTCCTCCAGCAACAGCAGCGGCTTCAGCAGCATCAGCCTGAGGATGAGTCACCAGCCGCCTGGCTGTCACGCCGGTGAAAACGGCCCGCCCTCACCACGGTAACCGTCCAGCCAGAGTCCTCCCACTGTTCAACTGACCTTATCAGCACAGAGGCAGCTACAACCCCCAATACTCACACGCACACACATCAAAACATTCAAGGACACGGGGAGGGAGAAGTGAGCTGTATGAGTCATAGAATTGGAAGTGACGCCCTAAGCCCCCCCCCCATCACACACAACCACCACCATCATCATCACCACCACACATACACATACACACACCTTCTCACCCGAACACTATACCAACGTTTCCTTTCCCACCTTCCTTTATCGCACCCATTCAACATGGCACCACTGGCTCATAGGAAGCCTTTAACTGGATTTTAAGATGGTGGTTTGTGTGTGTCTGTGTGTGTGTGTGTGTGTATGTGTGTGTGTGTTTTGGGGGTTGGTAAGCAGCAGTGTGTGGTGTTATTAAATGCTAAGTGCTTCCCCCAGGAAGTCACACCAGGAAGGGGAATGAGGGCGGCTTCACACCTCAAATGGAGCACACAAACACGCAGCGGCGCGAAAAGGAAAGAACAGGAGGCGCGTTTCAGGCCGGAAAGCTGCGTCACACACTCTGTAGATGAGCCTTTATAAAAAAAAAGCTGCAGATGGCGGTTACAATAAAAGCATAACACTTTCATTAAGCCATTAAACCACAGAAGGACGTGTTACAGTGATTTTACACATGATGGTGTTGTTAAGCGATCAATCTATCCATGTCTATAGGCATCCTTTCATAGCTACTGTTGGACAATAGGCACAGTCGGATCAACAAAGTATCAATACCTAAGATTCTGATGTTTCCTTTTGAGAAGCAAGTGTGTTATATGTGTTAAATTCAGCAAATAAATTGAAAATGTAAAGAAGTGTGTTCTCTGTAGATGATGTGGTAATTATTACTAAAAAATACATAGTTTTATCAGGGGCACCCAAACTCTTGCATATGACTTTATTGGCGTTAATAAAACTGATTGTGCATGTAGTGTTTAAAAACACCATGAATGGGAACACACTTACAGGGATAATCCAAGTATATAGTGATGGGCCTCCGATTATTTTAATCATAAATTTCTTGGAAAACTGTTATTTTTTGACGAGCACAATTTTACAGAAACTGGTTACACACTACTGGTTACAAGCATCAGTACTGGTATTCGGATATTAGCCTTCATATTAGGGATGCAAATTTTGGCAAATTCTTTTAACAGATATTTGACCTGCATTAGTCGCCAATCAACTGTTTACCAGCAAGCCCAAAATCAAGGACAAGACAAATCAAGAACCCATCAAAATATCAGTTATAAAACTAGTAGTTCCAGTTCTAAAGTCTCTCAGGTTGAGCCAAGTTCTAACCCATTGTAAAATACTGTATGGACTATGGAAAATGGTACTGATTGGTGGGGCCAGGCATCAACATGTATATGAAGTAAACAGCCTGAAACCGTATTAACACACCCTACATAAGAACAGTTTTATTTAAACCAAGGAGCTGACAACTATAATATGTTCAAGATTACATGACCAAAGACTAAAATTTGATGAAAGTTGTGTATCCTAAAGTTCTAAAGTTATATTCACCACTCATGAGCAGCCGGAGCTAAAACAAACAAAAATACTATGACTGGGTACAGCTTTGGCTCAGTGTACCTCGGTAGCTCTGGAAAGTTGTTGCCATCCACCATGCCTTTCTCTGTAATTCTGCACACAAGTGTGTGATTTTCTCACAGATTTTCTCACTACTGTGCATCACAATAGTTGTCTGTCTTATCACTTGTGGATGTTTGCTTTCGATATGGTACATCATTGTAGTTGCGTTATCGCCCCAAAAAGTGATCAAGAACACCATTATTTTTAGTTGTGCATTTCATTGTTCAGTAGGCCTATCTAGAAAAACTACTGCATATTCCATACAATTCAAAAATGTTTCTCTACTTGAACAATAAACCTGCCTATTCAAATAGAAACTGGTTCATTGTGAATGAAAACTTTTTTTTTTTACCAATAGCAGTGATCAAACAATTGTTTATTTGTCAGTTAATGGTTAATCAGTTCATCATTTACATCCCTACTTTCTTTCTATTATTCGATATCAGAACTACAAGAAAATCGGTGGCTATTGGACTAGCTTTACAGAACTTTGAAAAAAATCTCTTTCAACATAATGATAAATTGATGTTTTTTACAAAACACCTATATTACTAAATTATACTTGTCAAATGGGCCTAAAAAGTCACACTGTTAGGAAGACTGATCTTTTTCTAGTGCGTGATCAAGCTAGCGTTAGCATGGTGGCAAATTTGTCATGTCCCTCCTGCCTACTTTCAGTTAGCTACAACATAAAGCTAGCATAGCATTTTGATCTGGAAAGTCAGTGTATGGCTGAATGTTTTTTTTTGCCATTGTCCCACCTCAAAACATTTGCTATGAAGGAGCGCATTTGTGGGCAAATCTGGATAATGTAATTAATTGAGGATTAGATTGACATTTGCCATCATCATACGTGTGCAAGGCTAAGTTATATCCTAAAGTAGGCAGTACAGGAGAGATAATATTGGCCCCTACATAACCCATCGAGGAATCAGGTCAGACGAGTCCTTTTGCTTTGCAGACAGGTAGAGGGAAGCGACTGTTAAAAACAAGGTCTTGCATAACAGACTGAAAACAAAGATAGCTTTCAGTCCCGTCACAATAGCTCATATAGAGCAGCAAAATCAGAAAATTGACAACAATGTGGGATGTACAGCCAAATGCAGCATGTGGGTACATTGTGAAAGACTTTCCCAATAGAGCCTGACCGATTTCAGTCACAAATGTGATACAGCCGAGCTGTACCAGGCAAACAATTCCCAAGTGTGGTAACTTTTGATTTGAAGATACTCCTAACTGTTAAGGAAAACAAGAATCAGCATAACATGCCCTAGACTTATGCCTCGAACTAAAAAACCTATACAAAACTTAATCATAATCCTAAAGCTAATTATTCTATATTTGTACATATTGCTTTGGGTTTCATTATGCTACTTTTCATGAAGATACTTGAGCATTTGAATACTGTCTAAATAAACTACAAGGCTTGATCAATCAACAAATAATTAGCATTGTGAGTAGAGACAGTACAACGCGCACACGCGCACACACACACACACACACACACATACATTTGCTAAGCCACTTATCCTTATGGGCCATGAGTGGTGCTGGAGCCTATTCCAGTGCTCAGTGGGCAGAAGGCAGGAAACACCCAGACAGGTCACCAGTCAACCACAGGGCAGTATAATAAACAGTACTATGCAAAATTCTTAGGCATCTGAGAAAGTTATATGTAACGTCGCTTATCTGGACAGCAAGAATTTACTTGTAAGAAAAAAAAAGAAACACTAACATTAAAATAAATACAAATACACATTGTGATTTGATGCATGTTAACTTAACCATTTCCAAACCTCTCCTCCAGGAAGCAGCATAACTAGGCTCCTATGGGCCCAAGTGCAAAGATAATACAGATACATACAGAAACTTACAGCCTTACTAAACTCTGCTAAAGCCTGAGTAGACTGATAAATCAATGTGATGAGCCATTTATTAATCTTCATTAGAAGGACGATAGAACTGAAGTTTTCTTAGTAGCAGACGTGCACGAGTGACAAACTTAGCACTGATGTTGTACTGGACACACATGTACGTTTTAATGGCAGCTTTCATGCATGACATCAACTGAAAATCATGTAGCTACCTGCTTTTTAGTAAAATTGGCATTTGTCATTGGGATATGGCAAAGTATCTGCTTGTTTCATGAGATGGCAGTATGATTATGGGAACAGCAGTGGACAGAAGCAGGCGATTAGAGCCAAACTAAGGTTGAGAATTCCGTAACTTAATTTAAATAAATGAATTTTTTCATGAAACATTAACAGAGGAAAACTACCATCCAGTAACAGCAAGGAAAAGTGTAAATAAAATGTACATAAAAATAACCTTTAATGTATTGTAATGCAACACATTACTGAAGACATTTAAGACAGTGTATTCAGTATTCAGCCATCACTACTTTTTCAAAGTATTCTGCCCAACACTTAAAGTATATAACATTTCAGCGAATTTAGAAGGTAGACATTAACTAAGAGCCACCAGTTCATCTCAGCATTAAATAGGCTACACTAAACTATAATAGGCCAGCTTTATTTGACAACAATGAGGCAAATGGGTAAGACAATGTTTCCTGTTCATCCGCTCTACAGTAAAATTGATTGCTCAATCTCACGTCTAACTGTGACAAAGGACAGACATTTCAGCCAACAGTTGCAACACCAGAGACTTTAATAGCAACGTCTTATTTACAAGCGTGTACACGTGTACATCCATCTGCATTCAAAGGCTGTCCGCAAAGCTGTTTGGGGAAAAACAAAGGGTACAAAAGAGCCGCTTCCTGCTCCACAGATGATCCCCCTCTGTGACAAGAGCAGACAAGTCACGCACACACACACACACACACACACACACACACACACACACACACACACATACAGTGCACGATTAAACCGCAGGAGATCAAACAGGCCCCTACGGTGGCCATGTTCAAAAAAGGTGGGAGATGTGTCCCGAATGAGGGTGCATTCACCTAATCAAAGGAGAACTCAATTACACAGTGCTTGAAGAAAGAATGGCATGGGAGGAAACTGCTTAGCCTGCTCTGATGGCAAAAACAGGGCATGCGGGGGTTTTCTTCACTGCAGGGGAAAGAGAGAGAGGAAGGGGAAAAGTGTGCTCCTGCTTGTTCTCCTTACCGAACCAAACATGGGCTTTGATGCACATTCCTTCATACTGTCAAAAAAAAAAAGGAAAACAAAAAAAGCCCATATCTGTCCCACTAACCAGGCCCATTATTCAAAGTGTGCTCTGAAGGTATCCCTTTGATGAAGGACGATATGGGCCCCAACTTAAATAAAGAAAGAGTATTTACAGCGTACAGTATTTTGAGCTCTAATCTCATTTACCATGCCTGTAGAACATATGTACAAAGCATTCCATAATATGCACTCCAACATTTGCTGGAGGGTTTATAGGCCTTTTCTCGTGTTTAAAATAAATATACAGACAATAAAAGCACATACTGCTTGAACCACATCAAATGTAACATCTTAAAAAGAGCAACTTTAATTTCATGTCATGTAGAGAGAGAGAGAGAGAGCAAGAGAGAAAGCGAGAGAGAGAGAGAGAGAGAGAGAAAGAAAAGCGCTGCTTTAAATTCAATTCATCCAATGTTGCCATTCACAAAAAGGAAAGGATACTTGTGAATGGTGACCAACAGTGGCTGGCTGTTTCAATGTCAAACGTCATCGAAGGGGGGAAAAGAAAAGAAAAACAAGACTGCCCCCTGTTGGTTAACAGGGCACAGTGCATGCCATTACTACAAATATATCATAAGGCATTAACATACATATCACGGACTTGATTGCAAAACGCACTTGACGTCAAACCACTAATGATTTTTGTTACAGAGTTTTCAGCATCCACAAGTTTACAACTAGAAACATAGAAAGAGTTTATCGCTGACTGCCCACAGAGCGGCACTATTCAAAACGGGGAGGGTGGGAAAAAAATAATAAATGGTAAAATCACTGCCCTTCCATCATGCCGAAAGAAAACGTCGGCCTTCCTTTGAGATTTGTAGATTACAGATGGAAGAGTTTTTATTTTTCTTTCTTTTTCTTTAAATATGCATCCCCCACTGTGTTCGTGGCTCAGCGCCGGCCAGAAATCCAGGATCAGTTTCCAGTAAGCAGCTGGAGAAGACAAGAATCCATCATCATTTATGCACTTCCATGATTGATGGACACCTCAAATACATTTGCATTCTACATTTCGGTCCCAAGCTCCCTCAGCTGCTTTCATGTTAATGGTAGCAATCTCTTTGTATCACTTTGTTTTCATGGCAGGGAATGTTAAATAAAAGCATTTTTACTTAGAACATCAAAACTATAGAGTACTAAATGTTTACAATCCAATGCTACTATACCTACAGAGGCTCCAGAACATGAACCTTTAATAGATGAAGAGAACTCTTGTTCGAGGGAGAGTAGAAAAGGAGTCTGCCATTTTGCGAATCTTGGCATAGTTGATGAAGCCCCTGAGGAAGAGCAGGAAACCTGGAGGATATGGAAACGCATTATGGAGGCTGTACTCCAGTCCAAACAACCGCACAATCACCACAAATAAACAATGATAATCACCACATGAGGAGCAACCAAACACACAGATAAGCAACCAGATGTACAGTGCTTTAAAAACACAGGCTAGCAGGCCTACTATCGAAAACAGATATAGAGCAAAGATGTGATGTAAATACTTTATATTTTAAAATACAATTCTTTTTTGTGTGAAACAGTCAAAGCCAAGCATTAGTCCACTTACCAAGAACCAGGAACACCCACCACAGCCAATACTGGCCATCAAAATAGCCAGGAAAGTATGTAGAAAACTGGAACCACAAGGAAAGAAGAGTTCAGTCCTGTTGAGTTCCCCCTTTTTAATAAGGTCCATATCCTACCGTTTCCTCCGATTTTATTTTTTGCCCCTGAGCTCACAACTTAGGATATTACTGTTGGTTTATGTACCACAAACATCCTTAACTCATTTTAAACAAACATTTTCCAACCTAATCATCCTTTAGAATTAAACAGGCTGTTTTTGTTACTATGCCTTTGAGATCGATATGCAACCGTTCCCTGTTCTGATTGGCTGTTCTGTATTCTGCATCTTAAACTATTTAGTGTAAATAGACTCTGGCAATTAGTGTAGGCAGATAAGGTGGATATACGTAAATGATTTAGTTTTCTTGACATCACAAAAACAATGAATTCGAACTGGACAGTTTTTTCAGCTTAGATTCCATGAACACAAACACTAATAAAGTTTACATGCTACATCAAAATTTGGTTTTACCCTTTAATGTTCTGTTCTATGCGCTAATAGCAGGGAGATTTCACTTTGTGAAAAGTTATGAAAAGTCAGATAAACGTTCATCATTTAAATGGTAAACATTTACATGTTAGAAAGCCTAAATCGGATGGAGACAGAGAGGTGGATAAATTCAGGAAATTGTCGTACCCGGACAATCAGGATCCACTTGATGAGGGACAGGCCGAAGCCGGAGATGGCGCCGTAACGGCCGGCCGCCGAGGTGGTGAGGCAGAACGACAGGAAGAAGCCAATCCAGTTGAAGAGGAATGCCACTGGGAAAAGATAAAAATGAAGGATTACCACAGCTCATGCACCATGCCCAAAATATTGCAATGCACTAGTATATCTGATTCAAGCTAAAATCACACCTAAATCACAGCAGGAACAGCTATGAGAGTATGAAAAGCAAGGAATTGATGAGATGAGCAAGATGTGTACCTACACAGGTTTTTAATTCAGATACTCAGTACAGTACAAAGAGTCCATCTTTTGGCCAGTTCATATTTGATTTAGGGCAGCAATTATTTACTTTATAGGCAGTGCTTGTAGTTTTGGGGTGAAATGTGTGCTTCTAAAGTAGGATAAAACACATAGGATTCTCTCCCCTAGAAATACATGGGGCAAAGAGCAAGACAGCAAAAATTATAATATACAACTGATGCAGCGACACAGTAACTCTCCAAAAGCTGTTCCTGTCTCCATTGTATACTACCTCAGAATGCATATAATCTTATAATTTGCCTGGAACTATTTTACTGCTCCACACTCATCTGAATGCTGTGAGTAGTCATGCAGTTGTATACGTCATCCCTTTCCACTTTCCTCCATCTCAGGCAAAGGAACACAGGAGTATATTAAGTCTTATGACCTCTATATAAATATTGTAAATGGTGTAAATAATTATATTGCCTGTGGTCATATTTCGCTTTAACATTATTGTTTGTCTACGGTTGCACATGGCATATGAACAGCCAGAGAGCTGGAAGCCATGTTTCGTTTCTCATTCTCCACACTTTACATTTATACCATATGTTATTGACCCCACTTTACCCTAGACCGCCTATGGGGTCAATTACCATAATACTAGTTGTCTAGCTAGAGGTGGGCAATATGGCAAATACACAACATCAACACAGTTCAAGATATTTTCTTGATACACGATACGCATCACAATTCAGTTTTTCTAAGGTCTGTTAAGTTAAATGTCTTTCCCACACACAAAAGTATTGTAATTTTGTCTCTTGACTTAATATATCACATGGAACTCTGGGTCCATTTCCTGGCCAGTGATAAGCCTATTCCTGGACCACACTTTCCTGGAATGGACAATCTTCAGAATATTCTGTAGTCCAGGACCAGGTTTAATTACTATCTGGGAAGCCAACCCTGAATATTACCCGCTAACATGTCAAGAAGGATAGGACGCTGTGTAAAATGTAAAATGGTCTGCCTGAAGCATTTCCTTCTCTACTTACTGAAGAAAGTCAACATGAAAATGCCATCATTGCCTATTCGCAACTGGTCTGCGTCCTCAAAGTCATCCCTGGCCACAAAGTCCTCATCCTGCAGGAAAAGTTGAAAATTAGAGTTAGTGATATAAACTACTGAATGCAAAGGGTACAGGAACTCTGTGGGATCTTTGTATAACATAAAAAGGTAACAGAAGGTCCACATCATAATAAGGGAAGGGTCAGATTTCACTTGGTGCATCATTTTGCAGCCTGGGCCTATATTCTTCAGACAACGGGACCACAAAACAACATACAGAGGCTCGCTTTGTAAGCAAGAAACCCTCCAAACAAAATGAAATTAATTATGTTTCTTTCATGTTTCTTAGAAGTCTTTGACCTGAGTGGACCCTCAACAAGCCATGTATTGCAAACTTTAAAAAAGGTACCACAAAAGAGTTCTTTGAGGGATGCCACAGAAGAACCACTTTTGGTTCCCTAACGAGCCATGTCTGAAAAAGAAATGTATAATGAACCTTTTAACATTCAAATAACAAGAGGTTCTATACCAGGTTAAGGGACCTTCTTAGAACCTTTATATTATGTGGAAGTTGTTAAAACTTAAAAAAAAAATCTTCACACTCACAAATCACAGTTACAAAAAAGGGCATCTAAAAAACATCCACTGAAAGGTTTTTAAGGAACCAAAAGTCTTCTATGGCAGAGATGGGGAACTGAAAGTCAGAGCCCAGCACAGTTAGGAGAGCTCCCTGTTCTAATCCACCAACTAAACCTGGTACTTACCTAAATCTCACCTCTGTTTAATAGCATCCCACAAAGGACCCTTTTTGACACTTATGACATCACACCAAAAAATGTTTCATACACCAGTGGTTTTCAAACCCCACGTTTGTCCAGATTTTTGCTCCAATCCAACATATACAGCAAAAAGTATGGACTGTCAGGGGATATCTGAGGACCAGTTTGACTGCCATACATCTGACTAGTCAATAGCAGAAAATGGGTTGAAATTTACTGGAAATTCTGATTACACTAACAATCTACCTGCCTTAAGTGCATTAACTTTGTCACTAGCTTCGGAATTTACAGTCAACATCGCAGCATCAAATCAGACTTTTTATCTGTTTACCTGTCATGTGTATGTTTTAATGTTCTAAGGCAAACGTCTCAGGGAGGACAGTTCTTATTGGTTTGATTGGGGTCACAGAGAAAACAAGTGATGCTTCTCCATACTTCCTTTCCCACAGAAATACTATTATTATTACAGTTAATTATATAGTAGGTAAAAGATGCTGGAATCTTTACTAACGTGTGAGTGTACAGTCCATAAAAATGACTGAAATGGCAGATTCAGATGGAACGAAACTCACTAAAAGTCACCAGTAATTAGCCCCCCACACCATATCCATTACCTTTAGACAGCTAACCTCCTCAAGACCAAATAATGCCTCAATTTCCAATGACTAACCAAGCACCAAGCATACATTTTAGGAGGGTAAGGGTTTGATTCACCAACAAGAAAACTACGTATGACTGTGCAGAAGCTATGTCTATCGCAAGTTCTAATTACTGTTTAAAACAGAGACTGCCAGTTGTCTCCTGTACTCATTTTTGGCATTCAACAGTGCCTATCAAACCTCATCACATGGCACCTACCAACAAAGACTCCAGGAGCATCATTTTCATGGTCTGTCTGAGACAATGCTTCAGTTTTCATTACATAAATTGCCGTGATTTGAGAAAGTAACCTTTTGAAATAGAATGTTACAGTGCATATCAAAGGTTTACAGGCTTTCAAGTATAAATTATATATACACACATACATACACACACATACATACATACATACATACATACATATATATATATATATATATATATATATATATATATATATATATATATATATATATATATATATATAAACAAACAAACAAAATAATCCATGAGTGTAAAAATGTATTTTAGCATCTCTCTGAACACCCTGCCTTTCAACCATGAAAGCTGACGCCTGGGGTCTCTCCACGAAGGATGCCACCTGTACAGTTTGACACACTCCCACTCTTGTTACTGTACCTCCAGTGCACGAGTTACATCATCAAAAGTGTCCAGACGTTCCCTGTGCTGTGCGCAAGCAGTGTGTGGTAAAGAAACACAGGTGTGAGTGAATGAGGGGAGGTTTAAAGAAAGAACAAAAAGGGGAAAAGGGAAGCACAAACGTATGAAATAGGGCTGCATTATATGGACGAAATCGTGATGTAATGCTATATATTGTGACTGTGCTGTGTTAAAAACACTGGTGAATCAATAATGTAACATGGTAAAGATTGGTTATTATTTTGACCAAAATTATTTACTTTTGTTGGATTAAATTAATATCGCAAGTCATCAAAACACCCAACTAACTGGAACTGGCCTGAATGATGTCATCATACAGTTAAAAAAAAATAAATAAGTAAATCACTGTGAGTTTCTTGCCTAGTGCAGCCTTCTGCAATATCAGCACTGAAAAGGCCAATAAACAATTTACTGTGCAGCCTTAATATTAACACAAAAACCTAGTCACTGAATCAGGAATATGTCTCAAACTTGTCTCTTAGTCTTGGCTACGGATATTATGGAAAGTGTTTTGTTATGCTAGCTACAGCTTTGAATGGAGAGTTGTGGTACTTACTCGTCCTGCCACCAGAGGGACAGAAGCTTCTGCCTTGCTTCTCTCAGCCTCGTCATATGATGGCAGTGATGTGGCTACGTTATAAGAGGGAGGGTTGGGGAATGCAGAATCATCTTTGTAATCAAAATATGCTAGAAGGGAGATAAACAAATGTAAAAATTAATACATTTTACATACTTAATACAACAGTCCTTTTACTGGCCTAATTTTAGGCAAATATTTGCAGGTTTCAGATAAAAGTGTTACTCATTCATGTTTATTATGAAGGTGGATAATATAATTTTGATCTCCACAGCAATTTCTGCATATGCATGCTTAATAAAATAAATAAATAAATAAATAAATAAATAAATAAATAAATACCCAAACAGAGCAGGCACCTGACGTACTTCATAAATTCACTTTTTAAAGTTAATAGCAAATTATTATTCTTGTTTTGTTTACCTTTTAACCTTAGTTTATGTCCCTGGACATATTAAGTAAGATTCACCATATCATACCGTTTAAAAGACAAAATTCTTGTTTTCTTGGAATCTGCAGTAAAATATAATAACCGTTGCCCAGTTCCAAGATTTTTGATATTTTGTATATTAACCAACAATATCACTTCTCACCATCCCCACCTATTATCAAGTGAAACGGCTCGGCTACTTCAGAGACGCTCTCTAGTTTCAATAAATCAAAGGAAAACGCCTTCTGATTTTGATTTGGAGACCTCTGATTTCAAAATTATACATTATACAAATTATACAAAAAGCACACATACCTGCATTATCCGATGCGATGCTGCTGTAAGGGGGCGGAGCATCATTAGCCACCTGAGCTCCCTCTTCTGGTTCCTCTTCATTGGACAACTTAATTTGTGGGGGAAAAAAAGACAACTTAATTGTTGACATGCACTTGTTGGCATGCTTCTCCTAGAAAGCAGCGAGCTTAGAATGATGAACAGTACAAGGTCTTTTTTTCATATTCATTATTTTTACCTGAGACTCAAAATCAACAATGATGCACTGATATTAATAAGAGACAGAACATTTATATCATTCACCTTCGGCCATAGAGATTCCTTAGTGAAGTGGTCTTTCTAAGTAAGTAACTAGAAAAATTTGCTTTTATTCATGATGAACATAATCTTTTGAGGCGTTTCCCCAAAACCATTATAGCACTACATGTGTAAGATTCCTAAAAAAAAGATTCTTCTATTCAGTCTGTAATCTCGCAGTGCTCAGTTCTTTTAAATGTTGTTCTATATGCTATTGTGTCATGTAATAAAATAGGCCCTACATATACAATGCGGTGTTGAAGAGCATACTGAGTTACACAGGATCCACTACAAGCGCTGATTCAATTAACAGCTTTTAAAGGGATTAGCTGCAAAAGCAATCATACCGTAGAGTCGTGTTTCACAGGAACAAAGTGGGCCTATTTCTAATAACTAGGGCACGCCATTCACAATCATGTACAACACACAAAACTGTTCCTTTTTCCACATTTAGATTTGAACATATCTTTTTCCAGCCTTAAGCATCTCTGAGACATCAACGGCGTTTGAAAAGCACGCAGCTGACTCAGGAAATGAGCTTCGCAACGTTTGCTAGATTAACAAGAACTGAAACCAAAATGACAGCGAACGAAAATGCTCTGCTAAACAAATTTCAACAAGCAGTGTGAAAATAGGCTAGGTTAAACTGAGTAAACACCTAGCTGGTCCTGGTGAAAAACTAGTTAGCACTGGTTAAACTCGCTGGTTGCGTGAATGAGGCGAGTCTGACCAAACTAATGGAAGTCCGCTAAGCTGGCTAGCGTTTTTTCTAGAGAACAACAAAAACACCGAAAAAACGCAGATAGTTGGGGCCCTAGCTCATCAACATGGACGTTAAGTAAGTTGTTACAGAGCGTTTCGGAAAACAGTCAGGGACAAAATGTGTTACGTTACAGTAAACAGTAGCTCTTCCCGTGTGTAGCCGTTTAAAATGACCTGCGACGCGACCCAAAACAATAAGGCCTTGAATCTGAGCGACCATCCTCGGTGTTTCCTGGAAGCGCTCCCCGGCGCTGATGACTCGGAGGCGGATCAGTTTCCACTCAGTCACCCACGCTCCAGTACCCTTCACTCACCTGCTGATATCTGCCGCTCGATTCTGCCATCCTCGAGAAGCTTGATAAGCCGCGGAGGATTGAATTCAGAACCCAAACAAATCCGTCCACAAAATGTCTGTACGAAATTATATAACTTTGTGTGTTCTTGGCCACGTCCGCCCCTCGGTCCTCTCGCACTTCCCGTGATGTCAGTTACACAGCAGCGCCACCACACGCCGAACCACTGATGGAAAAATCTGTTAAAGGAACAGCCCAACGTGCTTCAGAAATCAATGTGTTTTTTCCAGTTGTCAGTTTTGTGTAAGTGATTTTGAGTCTTCTAAACGCTGACACAAAGAAAAACCCTGCAGGCTTGACGGGTCCATAATGAGATACAGTGAAACTACCGTTAGACTCTAACACGGCGCTCAAGCAGCACCGGAATATTCTCCAATAGCTCGACTATTATTTCCATGTTTGTGGTAAATTTTAATAAAAACCACGCGGCTAGGGACTGTTTGGCGTGACGTGGACTGTTCGCCCAGTCCTGGTCCTGGAGATCTACTACCCTGCAGAGTTTAGCTCCAATCCTAATTTAACACACCTGAACCAGATAATGAAAGTTTTAGGGGCATCTGAACATTAGAGCCAGGTGTGCTGGATTTGAACTCTCCAGGGTCGTAGATCTGGAAGCCCCTCTTCTTATGATGTATCCTGAAGGGGGGAGGACCTTTTTAAAAACTACTACTTTGAGGTGGGTTTTTGGGGGCAGTCAGTTTTATAATTGTCATTTTGTTGTTTTTCATTAGCTGGTGAGTGCAGAAGAAAGGCAGATAGCTAACATTACACACAGGAAGCTTATAGTGTAACTTACTGCAACTGTATAACTGTGGTGACTGTTATAAAATGATTATTACAGTGGAGAGAATGGAGTACTTAAATGACAGAACTCTGCTGAAAAAACAGCACAGACCAGCATGAAGTCTGTGCTGGTCTATGCTGGTTTATGTTGGTCTGATGCTGATTTAACTGGTTTCACCAGAACGCAAGCATTCAAAACACAACATATGCTGGTTTTGCTGGTGTCCATGCTGGTTGTTCTAACAGGAAAATGACTGAGATGCCATGTAGCTGGCTACTCAGCTTGGCTGCTATTGTCTGGCTAAAAGAGTAAAAACTTGTTTCTGGCATCTATTTTGTTCTGAAAATATTTGTATTTATTAGCCTATCGTTCAGTGGCTAGGCTAGCAGTCAGGATTGGTTGACACCACAGGATTTCCTAGTGGTGTATGTTGTAAACAATGTCTCAGGCATCAGTCATTGTATTCAGAACCATTTTGTTTAACAGTTGTGAGGCAGGTTTCTCTGAGCGGTTGTGGAACCGGTGGAACTCCTCCTTAAACCAACTGTTTCACTTCACTGTGAGAAACAGCAAATAATGAAATACTGATACCCATCAATATTGATATGCCATCTCTAAATTCTAATGAAAACACACACTGGAAAATAACAGTTTCACAGTATTTATTGTTTTCTATTTTGGATAAAAATATAAAAACAATACTCATAGCCCTTAGCTATGAAGGGGGCTCCGCAGGGCCCCCTTTTTTTTCTCATCGTTCTGGTATCTCACAAGGACGGGGTAAGTGGTTCCTATGTGCTTCTGGTTGTAGTGGTGGCAGACGATCTCCACGTCGTAAAGGCTGAAGGACACTCTGACGCGCTCATTGGGAGAGGTAAGGAAACACAGGGTGTAGAGGGCGAACTCAAACTCGGGGCTGACACCGATAAAAATGCTGCCTTTGGGTTTGATTCCGTTCTTCCAGCTGAACTGCAGAGCCAAGATGTGTTTGTTCTCATCTGGCTGCAAAAGACAGATGTTAGACATTAGTGGACATTACATGTTTTGGAGGCAGTGCAGGGCAACAATATCTAAGCCATCAATACAATATACAACAATATACACATGTCCATTCAAGCGTAGAGTCGCTGTCAGAGTTGAAAACCAATCTCGAAGTAGACTAAAATCCTTTTGCTTTGAATGACCCATAATTATGTTTTTCCTTTTTATTACATCACGGTGCACCAGCGGGTGAGGAAAAATAATGTTAACCAAAAATATCACCCACTCCGACACCCTCACTTACCATCAAGTGAAATGCTCAGCTAGCTTGGAGGACCTCCATTAAGCGTTTCACTCAGATAAATGTCACAGTACGAAAGGAAAACCTGTTATGGTTTCATGTTGACTTCATGTACTACCACAGCTCCTGATTTGGTCAGACTGATACGAATATGTTTTTATATCTTACTGGATGGTGGTGTTCCTGGATGGTGAGGGATTAACAGCTCAAAATTTTAAGACCTGGAAAGTGTAGCATGTAACAGGCATTTCAAACTAGGTTCTTCCCAGGCCACACCTCTGCAGAGTTTAGTGTTTTCCCTCTTCTAAAGGTCCAGTCACCCTAGCATTTGTAAGCAAAATTTTGAAAATGTAATTCTATTCATTTTATTGTAATTTAGTGCAATGAGAAATTTTGTGTCACAGAACTTTGAAAACCAACTTGCATCATCGACCAATAGCACTACTGCTTTAGCGGCGTTGACCTCTGAGGGAATGAGGCTTCATATAGCAGCACTGAATATCCAAATTGGAGCAAACACTAATTTAACCAGTATCTCAGCATTTCTTCCTTTTATTACTTTGCTTTTGTGATTTTAATGTTTGTGGTAGGTATGTTTACCAAGTCTACCAACAACAACTATGTCAGTTATATATATTTTTGTTCAAGATCAGCTTCAGATGCCTGGTTCCTGTCACCACCACTGAGAACAATTCTGACTCTATAACAGAGCATTTCACATCAAACGAATCTGAATGACTTTGTTTACATCTTAACCATTTAATTATGCAGAGATTTTGAAAAATCAGTGGAATTCCCCTTTAACATTTGAATTTTGCCATTTTTCTAATGTGGTGGTGAGTTTGATAAATTCTACAGTAACATATGTAAGTACAAATGCATATTAGGTGAATAGCATTTTAATTAGCATTTTGACACCATTATTTTATAATCACGTCAAACACATTAATCCAGTTTGAAAAGCATCCAAATCTCTGTGTAAATGAAATATCAATAGCAGTATACCAAACAGCAAATGTAATTGAATTTGAATTTTCATTTTGAGCCCAAACTTGCATGTATGAATGTGAAATTTAAATTCCAACTTCAGATTACATTGTCATTTTACATTTTCATTTTAATTCTAATAATGATATGTTACCATCCACAGAAAAGAAGCTCAACATTAAAGTTTTGGGCAGAATACGCTCCGTCGCCTGAATACAGACAAACTTTTAATGAGGAGGAATATTAAACTCTGTAGAGCTGTGAACTGGAAGGAACCTGCTCTGACACTCTTGGCAAATATTGTGCATGGCAAATTCTTGCAAAGGCAAAAGGATTCTCCTGATTACTGGTATATTGATTTCTCGCAATTCAATATCTTTGAGTTAGTTATCATTCTCAGCCTCTGAAACAGTGCCTTTTCTGTAGTATCAGAAACTTACCTGGGGGGAGTTTGCATTTACACTGTAGCCTTTGTAGTCAATGTGTCCGAGCTTCTCTTGCAAATACAACTGAATCCAGTTGTGGAAACCAATTACAGTACGTCCACCTCTGGTTTCACCCACAAAGACGTGCTCAAACCCTGAAGAGTCTGGTCTTGAGAAAAGAGAGGTGAACAGAATGAATGAGTTTGTCCATATATGATATTATAATGTCAGATCAAAATATGAATTCAATTTGTTCCTTTTATCCTTTTGAATAAATGTTCAGAAATGTTAAGAGCGTTTTCCTTCTGAAAATGTACCATTTAGGAGATACAAGGTTTTGTTCTGACAGCAATAATATACTCTTTCTAATTGCTGTAGATCACAGTTGTGAAATCCTGCACGGCCACAGAAGAGCATTAAATTTGGAATTTTAAAACAGTTGATACTCAGTTATAATTGATAATGGTAATACTCAATAAAATATGCACTCACTTTATGGCAAAAATAAAATACTCATGCTAGGCCCCTTCATAATCCTGAAATTGTAGCTGAAGATTACTAACCATATACGTAATCGCGATTAACAATTTGATTGTCTTTTTTGATTATTTGTTTGCAACAGTTAAAGTACAACCCTCAATGAGGTAAATTGGCTGATTGCTTCCTAGCTGTTGATACTTAGTAGGTTTCAGCTGACGGCAGCAACAGCTAAAGCTCAAATAAACAAACATTACTCACTGCTGCTCTCTAAAGGTGCTGTAGCCCTATCAGAAGTAGGAGGTTTTGGTTTCAGGTGCCAGAATAAATATGGTTTCTGCTTTGTTTATTTGCTTGTACTTGCTTCACACAATTGGATAAAAGTGCAACCAATTCACATTCTGCTTGCTGCATCATAAACCTAAAAATAATTGTGGTCAGCTTAAAAATTGTAATAAGACAAATATGTAATAATCGTTTTAAATGGAACATCTACATTCCACTACTATTGATGTACTGTTAAAAAAAATATTTGGCATGTGATACGCAAAAATACTTCATTTTCAAGATACATAAGTATCACAAAACAAAATTTTAGGTTAAGACAATAAATAATAAAGTAGTACTACATTTAAAAAATTATGATTACAATTTTTATTTTTTAAATTTTATTTAATGTTTCACATACTGCACTGAACTAAACCCAGTTGAGTCTTAATTATGCTCTTTGTAATGAAACATGCAGTTCTGACGAAATCCACCGATATACTCACGATGTGCTCAGAAAGGAATATTGTAACAATGTCGTGTAAATTTTTAATGATAACAATAAACATCATCGTAACGGCCATGTCTTAATGATGATCTGCAGAAACGATGATGAACACAAACTGTAAATTAATGAGAAAAGCATCACTGTAAGTGGCTTCAGATGGATATTTAGTCTTCTATATGTACTTGCTGGATCCTCTCCTGGCGTACAGCTCGAACCAGATGCGGTACAGCTGCTCTTTGAACTTCGTCAGGTCCTCTGGAGAAAGGTTCTTGGCCACTAGATATTTATGGACAATCTGAGGCAGATTAAAAGAAGAAACATAGGAAAAGACAAGATTTCAACATGATAAAAACAGGTTTCTGTTTCTTGTAGTGCAGATACGAGTGAATCTGTTCATGTAATGTTACTGTATATGGCTGTGAATATGCTGAATATTAATTTTCCTGATTCCTGAAGTTGCTCCAAGGTTTTTTTTGTTATAGTCATTTAAAAGTTGGATATCACAGGAGTTTTCTGGACCACGCCATAGGTCCTTATGTATTAACATCACTCGCACAGACTCAAAAAGAGTTTTCTGGACCACGCCATAGGTCCTTACGTAGTAACATCACTCGCACAGACTCAAAAAGAGTTTTCTGGACCACGCCATAGGTCCTTACGTAGTAACATCACTCGCACAGACTCAAAAAGAGTTTTCTGGACCACGCCATAGGTCCTTACGTAGTAACATCACTCGCACAGACTCAAAAAGAAGCTCCGGCTCAATGTTCAGGCCTCAAATGCAAAATCAGCATTATACTGATGAAGACATGATAATAGCAGATAATTCACCTACATCCTCAGAAGACACGTCATTCATCAAGTTTCAACTGAATCATTCTCAAATACTCCTAACGTACTCGCAAACATCAGAACATCAAACATCAAATTTTCCTTGCTTTATTGAAATAAGAAAGTTTGATGTATTATATAAAGTTTTCGGGCAGCAAGGTGATGCAGTGGGTAGCTCTTTCACCTCACAACAAGAAGGGCCTGGGTTTGATTCCCTGGCTGGGATATGCTAAATTGCCCCTAGGTGTGAGTCTGTGTGTGAATGTATGTCTGTCTGTCTGCCCTGTGATGGACTGATGACCTGTCCTGCCTTTCGCCCAATGACTGCTGGGGTAGGCTCCAGCTCCCCCCACAAACCAGAAGGATAAGCGGCTTAGAAAGTGTGTGTGTGTGTGTGTTAAAGTTTGTAAAGGTACTGTTCACTCCACAGAACATTTATAGATTTTACTGTTTTTGTCATGTCACAAAATCCAACATATTTACATATATATATTCATACACCTATTCAGCCTACAGCAGTTTAGCCCCACCCATTCACACTGACGTTATAAGGAGAGTTTTGCCTAGACCTCTTTTAGAATGAGTTACAATACAGGGCAGCCAATCAGAACAGAAATCATTTACATATTGTCATATGCAAAATTCTGGGTGCCCCTGGTCAAATGGTGTTTGGTGAAAATAAGTTAACACATCCTTTACAGAGGACACACTTCTTTTTCATATTTTAAAACAGTTATATATAAAGTGTGCCATAACTTTTGCACAGGCCAGATTTTTCCCAATATGTTAAATTTAAAAAAATTCAAAATTTAACAAACTATGAAAAATCTGGCCTGTGCAAAAGTTATGGCACATTTTATATTTTGTGTTTTATTTTTTTCCAATATGTTAAACTCAACAAATAGAAATCGTGCTTTAAAATCTGCAGAAGAAATGCCATATTTAAGTTCTCTGCAGAGGATGTGTTAACAAAACATGTCAGTGACCAGGGTTTCTGTCATTTGTGTATTTAATATTACTCTAATTGTTGGTTAGCACTATGCTAATTGAGATACATTTACATTACATGTTAGCTACATTAGCCTTGTAGCTCTAGTGCAAAACTAAAGAAGCAAATGCAGACATGTCTAGGCTGATTGACTATATTTGACGTAGGAGGAAATAAGAGGTAAACTATTCTTTTAATAGAGAATGTTGGCATAATTCAGTGGCTGTGATGTAAACAGTCATTCAGAGTGGTTTGATGTGAAATAGTGTATTATAGAGAAATTTGCTGACTCAGATTTCTTAGAGTGGTGGTGATAGGAACCAGGGGTCACAATGTCTACAGCACAAATATGGCCATTTTATTTACTATCCAATATTACCAAGAAAGCTACAGTGTTTTCTGAGTTTTTATATGTAAAGTTATTATGACAAAATAGTGATAATCCAGCTCTTGCTGGGGCAACGTCCTGCATGTACCACTCTGCCATAAATGGATTCTACCTCTCCAAACTATACTAAAACAATGTCTCAGGCAGTGTAGTCAACTATTTTGGAGGCAATTTCTCTTCAGACGTCTGGATACTGTCACCACCACTGTGAACAATTCTGACAATGTAAGTTTCTCTAGAACAGAGCATTTCATGTCAGACCATTTTGAATGACTGTTTACATCTTAACAATTGCTTTAGCCACCAACACTAACCTTGTAACCTAGTTATTACCTTCATTGCAGGAGTCTTCACCATGGAGTCCAGAAACTTGTGATTCTCTGCCTCCTCCTCTGGGGTCACAACCTCTGGCTCACCAGTATCGCTCTCATAATTGTCCAGAAGTGAGATGAAGGCTGGAAAATCACAATTACATCATGCAAAGGTGTTTTGTTTTTTTACTTAATTATAATTTCTCAGTCATTATCATCAGCAGAATTCTTCAAGATGTGAGACACATAATTTAGGTTTTTGTGTTTTGCTAATAATGACTTTCAAGTACGTTCAACAGTTCAGACGTCACTCTGAACTGAACGAAAGTATATTCTGAAGGGTCCATATCATGAAAAACTGATTTTTCCTCATCGTTTTGAAATAAGTTTGATGTAGTATGTAAACATTGTTAAGTTTCGAAATGCATCATTCACTCCCCACTCCATACAGTCCATACATGCAAACTAAGCTGCAAAAGCAGCTCGTCCAGAATTCCCTGTTTTTTGATGTCATGAAAACCATCCCATTTACGTATATCCGCCTATTCAGCCTACAGCAGTTTAGCGCTGCCCTTTCACACTGTCTTTCAGCCTGGACTGCTTTTTGAATGAAACATAATACAGAGCAACCAATCAGAGCACAGCTTATTTACACATATCAGTCTTAAAGGTGCAGTAACAAAAACAGCCTGTTTAATTCTAAAGGATCAAGAGAGGCTGAAAAATGAATTATGATTATTTTTGGTTACAAAAATATACAGATGTCATAAGTGGATGCCAGGGTGGAAATTAAAAACAAGAAAAATGTTAAGATTTTGACTCATTAAAAGTTTTACACAATCACACGAAGAAACTTTTATTAGAAAGCTACAAAAAAAACAACTTGGTTATTTCTCAAATTAGATGAGGAACATCCATTTTAGTTGTTACGATCAATCAAAGGACAGACATGTAATGTTAGCCAAGAACTTCTTACCCAAGAAGGTCTCTTTTTTGAAAATGCTTTCGTCAACGTATGTGAACAAAGGCAATCCAGCTGCGTCGTTACCATCATTCATGAGTGACAGGTTACCAGCTTTGCCCTGTGAGAAACAAAGGAGAAACAGAGGAGTTTACTATGCTTACTATGACCAGCCGCATGAGCTAACAAAGTAAAGATGGTAAATTTTGATTACATGTTGACTTTAAAGCTGCACTAAGGTTTTTTTTTTTGCTAAAAGTGAAGTACCAACAGGCTAGTATATGCCGATGTATATATATTTACATATTAATGTCACTCGCACAGACTCAAAAAGAAAGTCCTACTTAATGTTTAGGCCTGAGAAACTGCAAAATCAACATCTAACAGAATTCTCTTTGTATACTCTTTCAACACGCTCACAATCAGATTCATTCGCTTGGAGAAGGGGTCCGAATCACAACCATCGTTACAAAACATTCTTCCGCACGTTGCATGCAATTACATGTTTCCACCAGAGAGGTCCCCAAATCCCTAAAACCTCCATAGTGCAGCTTCATAAGGGATAAAAAACTTCAGAGGGACTGATATTTGCTGAAATTAATGGTGCCGTGTCAACAAAACCTGGCTCCCTATTGATAAGGTTAAGGTTAAGACCATCCTAAGTCGTAGAGAGAGTGTTCAGTGTGATGCCCTCTCTACCATTTGAGAATAAGCTAAGATGGTTTTGAGAAACCCAGCCCAGGACTGTTCCCAAGTCATCCTGTTAGTTCAATGATGGAAAGTGTTTTAGAAAACCAATGATCTTTAGTCAGCCCAAAAGATGTCTTTGAGGTTTGTTAGGCAAACACACTGGTCTGACAATAGAGCTTTTGCTATTATTAGTTTTTTTTTCCTCTAAAAAAGAATTCTATGCTAAATAGGCACAATAGCTCAGACTCCCTGACTTGATGACCTCAGTTTAAAACAAACATACAACAGGCAGCAGATGAATGTCATGTTTTTTGGCAAGGCAAGCACACTGTGGCAGGCAAAACAAGCAACATGTTCAATAATCACCGTTTTCAAATTGTTTCCACAAGAAGAAGAAAAAAAACGGGAGGTTATTACTTGCAGAGATATGCGATAGTCCGTTCCAGGCTTCAGGCGATTGACATCATTGTCCCAAAGCTCCTGCACCATAGCTGAGAGCTCTCGGTCACTTTCAATCATGGTGGGTATCCAAGAGGTTCACTATAGATGCCAAGAGAAATCTGTCAAGCCGAGAAATTTTTGTCAATACGCTATCAAAACACGACACCTGTTTCCTAACAAGGCTTGGAACCTAAGTTAATAAAGAAGACATATTCTGCAATTCACTTGCTTCACAATGAATCCTTTAATCCATTTTAACAAAAGCCAACTATTTCTGAATGTTTCTCAAATAGAAAAGGTGTTACAATCAACATAACAAATTCCACTGATTTTTCAACATTTTCACATACATTTCATTTTACAGAATAACTTTCTGTAAGGTAGATTTTAGAGAAAATAAACTTTTCAGACATTTGGTTCCTGTCACCACCAGTGTAAATAGTATGGCTGAGCTGCTGCTCCATAAGCCACTGTACAGCTCCAAATGCACCCACCTTGATCTGTGCGCGAGTGGTGTAGGCGGACGCTTGTGGCTGACCGAGAAGCAGGTGGATGATGACGGCAGGGTGCTCTGGATAGCGGTCCAGGCGTGTAGGCTGGGTGGGAAAGACATGGCTGCACCCTCCTACAGCACGAGGCCGCAGCACCGAGAGGGCCCATTCGAAAGGGTTAGCCCATGTCAGCAACTCTAGCTAAAGGGATTATAGTGTTTGTGAATGTGCCACTACAATGAGGATGGGGAGGTCTTTGTACCTTTTTTTTTTTTTACCACCGGTGCATATTGTGTCTGTGTTATCGCTTCCCAAACCCCCATTACTACAGCCTATGTGTGGGCAATGTGATGTTATGTTATCATTATCATAATAAATTATGTCACTGAATACTTTTCTGAGTATATCATGGTATCATCAGGACTTCTACAACACTGACAAGCTGCACAGTTCATAAAATAAAATAATTTATCTATGTATCTAATATTTACCTATATAAACTGCACAGTAACACAATTATTGGATATTCACTCGATTGTTATTTTCACCAATTCTGTGGTAAACCTTGTAAACCTCAGGGGAAAAAAAACAAAATATGGTGATACATATGTATTGTGAAAGGGTCTGCAAGTATTATGATGTTATATTGTTGCCATTACTGATACTATAGCCCAAAAGCCTGGACAAGGCTGAACATTTTATGGAAAGTGTTTCATACACAAGCAGCATTAACTTCAGCTTCGTCAGGGAGCAAATGTAAACGCTTCTTTGAGCCACTATACTTAAGAAACACCTTTTCCACAGAAAATGTCCATTCATTTAATTTTATGCCACATTTTATAGAAGGTAAAATGCGCTGTCAGTAAAAATGACTGACGTGGCACATTTGGAGGGACTAAATTCACTGAGAAACACTGTTAATTATTACATTAACCACCTCCTCATGTAAAACTAATCCCACTAACAAGCTTGCTACACTGGACGAGAGCCTGACAGATTAGCTAATTTTATAGCTCAGTTATGCTCGCTAGATTAGTTTTTACTGTGGTTAGCTTTCTTTCAGTAAGATTCTCTGACTTGAACACAGAGAGACTGTAAGGGAACAATGTTTTGTTAAGGCTGTGTGGGCGCTTAACTTCCATTAGCTTTGTCACTGGTAAGAATACTGCTTATGTAAACTTTACCCAAGATTAGGACCACCCAGTTTACCTCGAAAAAGGAGAATCTTGGCAAAATACATCAGACATTTGGTGAGCAGTGGAAAGTTATTCATAGTACATACTTTGCACATGTGCACCGTGTACCCAAAAAAGCAAGATTAACCTACTTAGAAAGAAATCATGGATTTAGGTTCCCTGGGGCTTATCTGGCTACCCAAGAACATTCTAAAAATCAGCCTTTGTGAAATCCTAGCGACTGGTTTACAAAGCATTTTAAACTTTTTAGCTTCACAAAACCCAAAAAATGTGACCGCGGTTGATTTTCACACAGCCAGAGAAACACTGAAAGGAGCAGACGTAAACAAAGTAATTCAGAGTGGTTTAATGTGAAACGCTCACAATGGAGGTGATGATAGGAACCAGACATCTAAAGTGTTTAATGCCGCTCAAAGCTACCTCACAGAAGGTTATCACACGAAACGGTAACAAATATACTGAACAGTGCCTGAGACGTTGTTTGAAGATAATGAAATTTTTTTTTTTAAATCCATTCATGGTGGAAAGGTACCTGCAGGGTTTTGTAAGACAAAATAGTCAAAAAATTGACCTGTTTTACCTTTTATCAACATTACATATAAACACTCAGAAGACACAAAGGTTGTTTTGGATAGCAAATAAAATGGCTACATTTGAGACTCCTGGTCTGTATCTCCACTACTGTACAGAAATTTGAGTCTGTAGATTTACAGTATCTACAGTATACTATTTCACAATAAAACACTCTGAATGGCTTTGTTTATTGCTCCACCCTGATTGGTCCAGGAGCGGTCTGCGATCTGTAACTAAACTTGATCTGCACCAGAACAGTTCAAGAATTTAAATTTTTCAAAATTTCTGCAAAAGTCAATCATTGAGATATCCATTCAGAAAGTCATTCAGCGTGGTTTGATGTGAAATGGTTCACTGTAGTCGGTGAACTTAGCAACTCAGGTTTCTTTATAGTGGTGCTGATAGGAACCAGTGGTTGTGTCTCCAACACAAATACAGCCATTTTACTTACTATCCAAAACCTTAATGTGTATTCAGAGTTTTTATATGTAATGTTAAAGTGATAAAATGTAGTAAATGTGTTGTTTTATTTTGGGAGGGAACTCTCTGCCATGAATGGATTTAAAAAATACATTTTGGGCCACAACTTTATCTCAAAACTATCATAGAACAACGTCTCAGATATCAGGCAGCGTATTCAAAGCCATTCATGTAATAACTTTCTGTGAGGGAACTTTTAGAGGTGAATATCTGGTTCACATCACCACCACTGTCAAAACATCTGGGTAAGTTTCACAAAAACGGAGCATTTCACATCAAACTACTTTGAATGACTTTGTTTACATCCCAACCATTAAAAAAAATGCAGAAATTCTTACAAATTGGTGGAATTCCCCATTAAACTGCCACTGTGATGCTGACTGAACCAAGTTTCACGTTACCTAGTAGCTAAGCAGCTTCATGAGACCGCTGCTTTGCGGAATAACACATACGGTCAGCCATATCAAGCATGTTAACTGCATCGCTACCTACTGATAACATAAAGCTTATCTGCAGCACATTCTTCAGGACCTGAAGCATGAAAAAGCCACAGTTCTTTGGTGTTGAGATTTCAGTTTACTGTGGCATGTACAGAACATTTCCAAACACAGACTGGTTTGAGATTGTTTATGAATGATCAGTTATACACAGGTCATTAATAGAAACCTTAAGAGGAACATAAAGCTATTAAACAAAGCTTTATGAAAGAAGCCCCCCAAAGGGAATATTATTGAGGGGAAAAAAATAATTCCATAATTGTGCCAAACATGATAACTAGTGCATGACAAAGAGGTGTATTTCAGAATGCACCCCAATGACAAGAAACCCCTATACAAGCCTTAACCTTGTAAACAGAACATAATCAAATTCATCTAGGTTCCTTTGAGATTGCTTCAGTGATACAGGAGAACAGCGTGATCAGCAGTACAGTGTAAACTGTTCCTTTTAGGGGATGCCCAATTTTTTAAATATTCAGCCCTTTCTAAGCATGAAAATACAGACAGGTCTTCAGGAAGACCCCCTAAAAATTCTTTCCAACACAGAAAACAAGCATCACTTTGCTTGTTAGCCTTGATATATGACACCAAAGTCTCCTTCACCAGCAAATATATCCTGATCTGCATTTCTGGCTGTATGGTACATTTTGAAAGACTTGTTTGAGTAAAAACAGAAAAATAAATAGTGATGGGATGCTCTCCTTTGGGCACTAGGAGCCACACTGCAGGTAGATAAAGAGAGAAAGTGCTCTGGGTTAAGTGCATTCAGAATGGTGGGCTGCAAGCTGTTGAAGCCTTTTTCACTCGTCTTCATCACTGAAAAATTCATCTTCTTCTTCTACCCCCTGGAACAATCTAGAAAGCAAATGAAAATGTATCATGAACATAAGAAAAAAAAAAATCTGTCCCTATGGGACTCTTAATGAAAAATGAATTATGACCCTATGCACAGGCAGTCTGCATTTTTTTTCTCTATAAATGGTCGTGAACAACAAGCTGAAGGTTGGAACAAGACTGGGAAGCTCCAAAGTGGTAGTTAACATGATGATAAAGCACATTTTACATTCTACTGCTGGTCTATTTTAAGTAGGTCACAGAGCCTGATGGCCACACTCATTCATATGCATTTTTGTGTTTTTTACATCTTTTAAGGTAAGTTATAAAAGAAAACCTAATAATCATGGATAAAACTCAGGCTAACATTTTGGCAAACTCACTTTACTAATGCCAGTATAACTGAATCATAGAAAATGTTTCCATGGGCTGGTTTCGTCAACTAAACTGCAATGTCAGTGGTGTTGCACCATTAAAAATTCCATGTAGTCCAGATTTAGGATTAGTCGAGGAATTGGAAATAACACCTTCAATTCTGATTTACACAAGGCCGATAATAAAAACCATTGGAACGGGACAGGGGTTCTTAACCTTTTTCACAGTGCAACCCTTTTTGGGGTTAAAAATATTTCGTGACCCCCTCTTTGCCAACCCGCCCCCCATCTAGCTCCCCCTCTCCACAGACAGAAATATATGCACATAAAAAAAAAATACAGAAGAATAATCAAAAAATAAGTCTACTCACTTACTGAGCCTGCATTCCTTAGCTAGCAGTTCACACAAAGCACAAGTCTTTAGCCTGATGCTTAAAAATGCTTTAAGTTCAGCAGTCATTCAAGACCCTCTCAGTAATGCACTCACCCAACTGAAATTTATAATCAACATTAGCTTGTCTTCCATGGCCTGTAGGTGGAGCCATTCAGCAGCGCTTGTCAAAATTGTTTGAAAAGGTTTATATCTTGTAGCACCACCCTTGTGACACAACCTGGGACCCCCCCGGGCCTCAACCTCTAGGTTAAGAACCCCTAGAATAGGATATTAGACATCAATCTCCCTTATCATTATAACTGCCTTGCCCTTTACTTCATTAACTTCAGCCCATTAACAAGCCAAGACAGAGGCCTATAATATAGAATCTAGAAGAAACAAGATTGTGGAAATGCCTAAACACACAACTTTGCCCCAAACCGCGTGTTTTATTAAGTAATCTTAAATAGGCTCGACACAGTTAGCTATAAAAATAGACAAAAGTACAGAAGGCCTCAAGATGGCTGTGCTGCTAGCTATGCAATGAACCTCTGTCCTTTTTTAGTTAATAAAGGGTTTCTAAAACACTATTATAGAATATTTAAAGAACACTGACCAACTGCATGCTTTATTAATCCTGTCTTGTGCAGCGCTGTATACAATAATACAGTAACTGTATTGTTTTTGATTGTATTGAATATGGCACAAATGGTGAATTGTGGCTGTTCTAATTTACCTCAAAAACACTAAATATCGTGATCCATGTTTTCAGGATCACGATATTTAGTGTTTACCCTACTTTATTGCATAATACAGCGTCAGTTTAATGGGATTTTGTAGAGAGTCAAGAAGCACGTACTGATTGAAGCAGGCCATGTTGGGGTTGTTGAAGTGGCTATAAGGGTTGACTCTGGAGAGAGGTGCCAGGCAGATCCAACAGAAGTACTGATGGCAAGAGGAGCAGGTCATCTTATTACAGCCCTGTGTCTTCTGCAGAGTCAGGAGAACAAAGAGGAACTCAAAAAACAGTTTACAGTAGGGTCAGTGGGATAATACAGGACCATATTTATCAAGGCTTTCAAATATAGGTCCACCAAAACTGAGCTCCCCAAGAGTTCATCTGAATTTGAATTAAATAGTACCCAAAAGGAAATGTGATCATGGATCAGGCATCCTACATTAAATGACTGATAAATATGGGCCACAATCAGTAGTAGATATTATCAATGGCAATAGCAAAAACATTTCGTAATTTGATATTAATAATTTGTCACTTGTAACTTATGGAGACTATTGGAGAAATTAATTCTAAACATTCAAATGATACTACATTTTTGTTTGTAAGTACAAGAGGAGATATTTTATTGTGATTTGAATTTGATGAATAATAACTGTGTGTGCAGTCCTGTTTTGAAAAAGAAAAATATCCTTTATGTTTTTGCCATGTTTTTCTTACTGTTTGACAACAAACTATCAGAAAAGAGTCAGAAGTGAAGACTTGAACCTGTTAAAACAGCATTACATTTAAATAATTACATAATGTAAATTGAATGTACACTAGACTTAGAGATGATAACAATATAGTTCTTTTCAAAGATTATCCACCTGCAGTACTAAACGACAAACAGTAATTCCAGTTAGTAGTCAAATAGTTGGCGAAGTCCAATCAAACTTTTCAGTTCAGTTCAACCTAATTGTTCTCAGTCCAGTTATATGGGATTCCTGTTAAGTAGGGCTGGGCAATGACAATATGTACCGTTATCGCGATAAATTACGTAACAATACAACACTGAACATATCATAGATATCGTCAGTACTTGTACAACACCAACTGCATGTTCCATTATAAAGAGAGAAAAATTGAATATTGAATAGAAATTACTCACATTTTGGTGTAACAGTTTTTTTTTAAATGTAACATCACTGGTGCTTTTCTCTCTGTTCCAACTAATCAGATGTCTGAACAAATAAATATCGTGATACATCGTGAATCGTGATATTTTTCCCATTTCACCCACCTACTGCGTAGAGCACGTGTCAGGCTCCAGTCCTCGCTGGGCAAAACACTGCAGACTTCAGTAGGCTGCCTCATTAAACACACCTGATTCAGCTCATCAGCTAATTAGCAAGGCCATCATGAACTGAATTCAGAGCATTAGATGAGGGTGAACGCTAAGCTCTGCAGCACTTTGGCCCGTAACGTCCACAGTTTGACATGTCTGGCTTAGAGTAATTTTTTATGTTGGAATGTTCCCCTCTAGACTGTGAGCCCTGGTGATGGCAAAGCTACTTAAATTGCATCCTTATCAGAAAACAGCCAACACAGACATATCTTGTATATTAGATCTACTGTATTCGTCAGGGTTCTAACTAACCTGGATGTGAGTGCCACAGGAAGGGCAATTTTTTGAGTTCTCTTCCAGCCACTTCCTGCTGAAGGACTCCTCCACCGCACGCTGGATGACCTGCTTCCCATAACGCTGCTCCAGAAACCTCTGCTCCTCCTTGCCAGCAGACAGGTATTCTTCCTGCAGGTTGCGGAGCTCATCTAGGAATGACAAACAGAATTAATCAAAGGCTCAAAAATTGCTAATTAATTATTATACTGCTTAATTGACATATTCTGATTCTGAATATACTATCAGAACCATGTAGCAGCACATAGTGCAGGGCATGTTTCCAATCCAGTTCTCTGGACCACCACTAATGAGTATCGCTTCAGAAGCCATTTAAAATTTCAATGGGAGGGTTACAGTCACCAAATCTCTTAAGCAGCTGGGCTTCAGCCTGCAAGTTTTATACAGAACACCATGTTAAACAGTGTAATTGTGAAGTTATATACAGCGTTCATACACTTTTTAAAGTGACAATTCCATGACTTTTCCATGACATAAAACGAAATTTCTATGCCAAGCATTTAACATAGTGCTGGGCGATCTATCATCTACACTGGTATACTGTGATACTAACATACCATTCCCTGTTTTAGTGATCATTTTTATTATGAATTAATTATTTTAAATTATTTCATTTTAATTTTATATTTGATAGATAAGAACCATTTAATTTGTGCACTTTACTCATGGTGTGCAGTCCTTGATGGTTTACATTTAACTTGTTCGCTTGAATTCCATAAAAAAAGGAAACTCAGGAAGCTTGAGTTTATTAACTTTATTAATGTTAACTAATATCACCTGACAGCATGATACTGTGATATGTTTAAAAATACTATGATACTGAATTTTATCTGTAACCACCCAGCACTAATTTAACACACACACAGCTGTTTAGAGGAAAAAAGGCCTACGATATTTAAATATTAATTTAACATTTAAATATTATTAGCAAATAAGTCAAAATGCAGTTTAACTGGATTAACTGTCAGTGAAATCTGACCCATGTACGGACATCTGCACCAGGTTTAACACTGAACTCTAAGGACAGATCTGTCATTTTGCTAAACACATTAATGTTTCATAATTTCAGAGCCTACATATTTTGTTTTGACATGCAAACGTCCTCTGGTTTTGTTTGTAAAGAGTGGTTTAGTGTCTTATCATAAAACATAACACAGACGCGTAGTGCATGCATACACATCATGATTAAGTGGACATTGTTATCCATTTCATTAAGTTTAGCTCCATATGAATCAAAATCAACTGAGTTAATAATAACAAAGACATATTTATTTAGCCAGTGAAATAAGTTATCTAACTAAGGGGTCAGTTTGGGAGGGATTAATTTTTCACAGTATGGGTAGGTAATGTATTTATTAGGCTACCATAGTTTCTCAGTGATTTTCGTCAGTCTAGATCTGCAATGTCAGTGACTTTCAAAGCAGTTTTTACAGTATTTAGGAGAGAGATGTAACAAGAGTCAGTTCACACTTTGAGCATGCAGAGTACAAAGAAGGCTATAAGATGTGGAAAAACATAAGATATAAAACATATAACATATAAAATATAAGGAAAAATCACAAATGCTTCCATGACTTTTCACGAAATTCCAAGATTTTTTCAGCACTTACTATTTTCCAGACCTGGAAAACCACATTCCTATATTCCATGACTTTTCCAGGATTTTCATGACCGTATGAACTATGTATACAACAACTATATGTGGTACGATGTAAGAAGGCTGTGTGCCCAGTGCTAATTGGTACGGTTAGATATGTTAGCCTCAAAGCTCTTGTGAAAAACAACAGAAACAATGGCTGATCAACTGCATTTTGGGTAAGAGGAAAATCTGATTTGTCACCGAACTAATCGTTTAAAGCTGAATGCCAAAGCACGGAATGGGGAAAACAGTCCTAGGCTCAAACAACATGCACAACTTATCACCATGTAATGTGCACTGGCTGTGCCTTACCAACTGTGGGCAAGCAGTGGGACAGACCATGGTAAGCGCGCTTGCACAGGGTGCAGAAGGCGTAGCGGCAGGAAGGACACAGGCCCATGGTGGTGTCCGGCTCCAACATCACGGCCATGCAGCACGACTTGCGCGGGCAGTATACTACGTCCGCCATCCGGTCCAGGCTGGACTGCAGGAGAAGGCGGTCGTAGCGGGCAAAATCGTCCTCACCTACCAGCAGCTTCACCTGTTATTGAGGCATTCTCACATCAGGCATGTCGCATCCATTCACGCTACAAGCCTTACTGCTCAATCAGATCCAACTGCTATGTCTTGATGGTTCACATTTGTGTTTATAACTATACCTGACAGATATTGACCATATCTGTCACATATCTTAACACGCCTCTGCACTGAAAGGACACACAGACATTAAATCAAGTTAGCTGTTGCTGACATGCCTACTGACACGCCTGCTGCCCACACAGGATGATGTGAAACGAAGCGATGTGATGTAGCGCGGTAAAGCAAGAGGTTGGTTGGTATGTTAGTTAAATAAATAAACAGATAAACAAACAAATAAATAAATACATAAGCAAGCAAGCAAGCATACAGGGCCAGACACCTTCAGTTCAGTGAGCGCAGTAGGGGTGGACAGGGATATTGGAATATATAGATAGCCAAGCGCAGCTCATCTTAGTGTTAGGTTACTTAATCAGGTATTGGAATGAAGCATGTTAAGTTTAGGATAAAAATTCAATAAATTGTGAATTATCTTGTAATTTTTGGACCAGGGATTGAGATGTAGAACAACAGACAATGTGTGGACACAAGCAGCTGATATTAGCCCTGATGTTAAAAGAGAATTTCACATTTAATAATTTAATAATTAATTGTTGCTATTTAAACAAACTCATTCTGAATGGTTTGATGTGAAATTATTACATTATACAAAAACTTACCGACTGGTTATGGTAAGTTGTGGTAAGGGGTCACAATGCAAATATAGCCATTTTATTTATTATACTATCCAAAACCAGTTAATCTACACGTCTTCTGAATGCTAATGTGTGATGTCGACTGTCGATAGTAAAACAGTGTTGAAAGTTTAATTATGGCAGCCATGAGGAAACATATTTGTAACCTGTTTTGTATAATAATTTTGTGAGAGTTAGAGTCTTTAAACCCTTTGGGCACCTGGTTCCTATCACCACCAATGTGAACAATTCTGACTCTAGGACGTTTCGTAACTTTCTCTAAAATGGAGCACTTCACACCAAACCACTATGAATGACTTTTCAGCTGAATAACGCATACATTTTTAAGAAAGACCTGTGGAATCCCCCTTTTTACTGAAATGGCTACTTCTAAGCAGGCCTAGCTATATACAGCTATAAACAGAAATGTATGGAAAAAGAAAGGTGACAAATTTAAGAAGACGCCTAAATATCACATACGCTTAAAATATAAAGATCACGTCAAAAGATATCACATTTTATTCTGGCTGCACACAATAAATATAAATATTACTGTTTTCATTTTCTTTCATCACAACCTAAAATATTTCCTTGTTGGAATATTTCAATACTTTTAATGTATTAGTGGTTTAAAAAACATGGATATTCAAACAGAAAAAATGTTTAAAATGGCCTTTAAGCTCTAACTTTATACAATATGGGATATAATATGGATATTTATCTGATACAAACTGCTTTAAAATGGTGTTCCACTTAACACTCACACACACGCAGGCAGGCACTCAGCTATTAGAGGAGGATACCTGTGAAGGCGTGGCCACAGAGGTGCACTTTGGTTCAGGGCAGTTAAGGCACTGAACTTTGCCATCTCGGATCTGGATCTCAAAGTACTCCTTCATGCAGGCCTTGCAGTAGACATGCTGGCACTCCTTGAAGAGCATGCAGCTGGAGCCCAGCTTCTCCGAGAAGCAGATGCCGCAGCAGAAGACCTTCCCGTCAAAAACTTTCTGCCGTTGTGCTTCGTCAAAGTCCAGCAGCTGAGGTAGCACGTCAGTTTGAGGGTCAGCTTCCAGGACAGCTCGAGGGTCCAGCTCCAGCTGCTTCCTCTTCTCTCCGCCTGCGCCTTCGGCCATCTTCGCAGCGGCCTCACTCCTGCTGCGGTCAGGCTGAGGCTGGCTGCTGCCTCCACTGGGGATCTCCAGAGGAGACTGAAGTCCCAGAAAGTCAAGTGCCTCCTCTTTGAGGAACTGGATCCAGGTGAAGAGCACCACACCACCTTGATTCTCCTCCCACAGCTCGTCCAGCCGTTTGCACAGAGCCGTCAGCTGATGAAAGGATGAAGGACAGAGGGAAAAAAAAGAATGTTTTTTGTTTGTTTGTTTTTTTATTAATGCAATGTGAAATGCAACATGTTTATTGCAATAATATAATCTAGAGCTGCAAGAAAATAATATTTTTAGTTAATAATTCATATCAATTTATCAACTAATAACCAATTAATCAGCTTAAATATGGCCTGTAAATAGAAAGAGCTGTAACAATAAAATGTTTGGCAATGGTGTGACCAAAACTCACCAAGAAATAAATTACCACCATGAGGAAAAAAAATTGTTGAAGCTTGCCTGTAATTTTGAGTTATAGTAAATAAAAAGCAATAGCTAAAAATAAGTGATATAATACTAAATATGTAGACTAACATAATAGCTTTTCAGGCTGCACCATTATTTAACCAATTTAACATCTTAACAACTCACAGCTTAGAATATTCAAGTGACTAACATTAGTAATGTAACATGATAAGCTTTAGTGATTTTTGTAATCATAACGCTAGTTTCTTCCAACAATTCATTTACAGCACAAACTGCCTGTTCTGCTGCTTCAGAATCAACACAAGCAATTTTTTCTTTTACAGTAGTCAAAGGTATTGATATTCTTCAGTAGAAAGTCAGACTTGCATATGTTGTATGTGACTATGCCATCCGCCCACATAGGACTACGCTATCTGCCCACATAGGTACGACACTATGCATTGAAGTGAATTGCTGCCCTCTTCTGGTTCCATGGTTAACTCACTCTAGGTTGGACGTCATTTTGAAAATATAAACGAAAAATTGACAATGGAAATACTTATATATATTATATTATAATGAAATCAAGCATTTTTTACATAAATAAAGAATTTTTTTAATAAAATGATTACCTGTTATTTTTCAAAGTGGTATGAGTAGCAAAAGCCTGATCGTTAAACAACTGCTACTTAAGAACATTTACTGGTTAGATGAGAAGTCTAGGGTGAAGTCATCTAGCCATTCAGTCACAACAGTACAAACTATTGGGACAGTTAAGACAGCAAGGTAGCCAGGTATTCTCACTGAGAATTTTGTACAGTAAAAAAAATACATACATCCTCTGCAGTGTGGAACTACTTTACTTTTACTTTGTGTTCTACTGTGATAAAGAATATTTTATATTACACCAAAAGAAGACCTTTGTTTTGTTTAGGGTTCAAAATACTATTCAGTTACTATTCAATTATCAATACAGAATGACATGGAAATTGCAATTAGACATATCCTCCAGCCCAAACACAAATCACCAACTTAGGTGTACTCAGTAAACCAAAAATGAGCTGATCAATGAAAGATCTGAACAGTTTTAAGTGTGTCCTCACCTGGAGTCTTGATAGCCATTTGGAGCTCAAGGTAAAAACTGGTGCTGAAGAAGAAGGATAATCAACCGGGAGCTCGAAACTCAGCACCAGGGGAGGCAGAAAGGACACGTCATACTCCATGCAGTTCTCTCCTGCCCATGCAAATCAACATAAACTCAGTTCAGGGGGATGGGAAAATGGCTGTCATGTTCAAACACTAGAGTGAACTAAATGTCACATCACCTTTGACCAGCAACTTGAAGTCAGGGGGAAGCTCGAGACACAAATGGATCTCGCCTTCCCGGCCCGATTCAGCTCGCCGAAACTCTTCTTCATCGTAAATACTCGCTAGGGCCAGCAGTTCATCATCTTGTGCTTCCTGATCCACTGACATTTGAACATTCCTGAAGGAACAAAAAAGACCTGATTTTACCTGCGGTGCTATGTACACTCAACTGCCCTGGTAACCTAACACATCAGAGTCCATCGCTAGACCAGACTTAGTTGATTACAAAGGAGAAAGGCAGTGACGAGTCGAGGAATTAGCAGAGTAAACTGATGAGAGCCTGGCTTTGTCTACTGAGGCCATCATAAGGTCACAACACATGCAATCAGACATTAACCGATATACAGACAGCAGCTGCTGAAAAAGGTCTCTGACAGTTGACGGTTTTGAATAAAGAAGTTAAATCAAAGTGTTATGTCACTCAAATGTACAAAACCACTCTGCTCTCAACAAACCACTGAAATGTATGGAATGCATTATATCACTGCCTTCTGTTTTGCCATATTATGCAGCTCTGAAGGAATGTAAGAAGTAAACAAACAACATCTTTTTTCAATATTCTTTTTTAAATACAGGATTATATTGAGTACAAACATATTCTTAAATATTTTATCACACAGCAGTTCATGATGGATTTGGAATCTAAAGGCTGCTTTTCAGTTTTAGCAATATTTTAATAAGCATAAAACAGCTCTGATATTTAACAAAGGCAAAATGTTATCAGATTTTTAAAATTATAATTATATATATATATATATATATATATATATATATATATATATATATATATATATAAAATTATTATTTTAAAAATCTGATAACATTTTGCCTTATATATATATATATATATATATATATATAAGAGAGAGAGAGAGAGAGAGAGACAGATAGATAGATAGATAGATAGATAGATAGATAGATAGATAGATGGACAGATGAAATTCACTGGTGCTTCTGACCGTTTCAAAAGAAAATGTTTAAAAAGTTATAAAAGATTTGTGTCTGGTAAAAGTTTGCAATGCTGTGTAATGTTCCAACTGACACATCATGCTCGACACGCCTAATGCTGTGACTATGGAATCTTTTTGAAAATGATGTGAAGCTTGTTACAATAGCAAAAGCATGAAATGGTTCCATACAGAACTCATGGTTCTAAACAGAACCTTTACCTTTTCTAAAGAACCCATGAAGAACCATCTTTTTTTTAAGAGACTACAGCAAGGCACTGCAGTTCATGTAAACCACCACTAGATTAGATCACGAATTAAACTCTTGGGACGTTTTTTCGTATTAGGTTTGTATAGTTAGTGAACAGCATACGAACAGAGAAGCTCTCGTTGATGCTAAATTTCATATGATGACGGACAGAGTAACAGTCAGGTCAAAACAGTAATGACAGGCCGATTACACATCACCTTGTAAGAGGTTGCGGAGGAATAAAACACAGGGCCAACTTAAGTGCTGTAGAGAGGGTCAGATTTATCCAGCGCGTTAGCTAGTTAGCATAGCTAGCTAGGTGGCTAGGTTCACTACTGTAAATAAGCTGATGAAATGGGCTGTAACGCTGGCTTAGCTTCATCTATCTTGATAGTTTGATGATTCAAACATCTAAAAAACGAGCTGACTATCGTATTATCAATTATCAATGTAGCTTGGTTAGCTATCTAGCTTCTGGAAACCACGTTAGCGCGCTGAAGACTGGCTGCCTGACGGGACCACCTAGGAATATAACTAACGTTAACTGTTAAAGCTAACGCAGCTCGCTAACTAAACTTCAGCTAACGCTAGCTGAGGTTGAACGTGTTGAACATAACAAGCTAGTTAAATAGCATCCAACCGCTTAACGCACAGAGGACAGATTAGGCTGTTATTCTATATAACTCTGATTTGAACAACAAGCGGTACCAGAGCTGTCGTATCAAACTTACCTACAGTTTAGCAAACTAATTCAGAAGGACAGTCAGAAGCTGAACACATGAAGCCAGCCCGGCCGGACAGAGGCGCTGGGCACAGGGAGTGGAGAGAGGAGGGCGGGGCTGCTGCTGCTGTCGCTCCGGCACTGACACCGCCTGACGTGGGCAGATCGATATTATTGTTATTGAAAAAGAAAACTCACTGTTCTTCATTTTCCTATTCTTATTCTTTTTATTATTATTCTGCGTTCAAAAAAGTAAATGGTACTCCTCCTACAGCTTTCGGGCGATAGCGAACAAATTTTGCAGTATAGTAGAACCGAGATTTATGCTTTTGAGTTTTAACAGATCAGATCAGGGTTTCATACAGCGATCGATTTTTTTCCCCATAGCAAATGAATGAAGCAATGCTTGGAACATTAAAATCTAACCGCCACACGTAATGTCACAGTGCACATCTCTCACACAGACACTCATACACAGTACACACAGACTCACACACATACACCCAAATGCATAGTGATAACATAAATATGGATTTAAGGCAGCAGTGGATTTAAGGTAACAGTGTATTTAAGGCACTAGTGTATTTAAGGTAGCAGTGGATTTAAGGTATCAGTGGTTTTAAGGTAACAGTGAATTTAAGATCGCAGTGGATTTAAGATATCAGTAGATTTGAGGTACCAGTGTATTTAAGGTACAAGTAGCTTTAAGGTATCAGTAGATTTAAAGTATCAGTGGATTTAAGTTACCAATTTATTTAAGGTTTCAGTATATTTAAGGTAACTGTGTATTTAAGGTACCAATGTGTTTAAGGTTTCAGTATATTTAAGATAACAGTGGATTGAAGGTACCAATGTATTTAACGTTTCAGTGGCTTTAAGGTTTCAGCGGATTTAAGGTACTACTGCTTTAACACTCACTACAGCCATCAGGCTACATCAGGTTATGAAGTTTAAGTAGCTGACTTTCTCAAGCCAACTTAAAGTTCATTCACAAATTTTCCTGTTCAAGTTATTGTTGAATTATCTTCCTCAGTCCTGTGTCTGGCCTTTGAAAACAATGTTTTGTCATAAAACATGTTCTCTGCTGCATACTAAATAACATAACACAATAAGAATTATTTTTTTGTTTACTGGGAAGCATATAATATTCAGTGTCAAGTACACTGGACATTTGGACTTAGGCACATAAAGTGTGAGTGTTTGGGGAAAACGAACACATTTATGCAGTTACATGAAAAAGTTTCTGCACTCTTGGAACTACCTGGACTCCTGCATGAACGGCTCCTAAAATAAGAAATAATGGTGCCTGCTGCATTTAAGGTGGAACAGGAAAATCAGAACAAGAAACTGGCCAATGAGAAGCTGACTTCAGCCTCGTAAAAAAATCAAACACTGAGAGCCATTTTACAAGAAACTATTCCACTTTTGGAAAAGTTTCCTGCTGGAGATGCGAGAAAGCCAGCTATAGCTAAGCTAAAGCTTAAAGCAGAGCAAAGTAAGTCTGCATTTTCGTTTATATTACATTTGTTATCCTTTACTAACACTTTAGCACATACTGAGACATATTTACAGTCAAGATGGTAAAATGGACAAAAAATGTTGTGGCTCCCAAGGTGGTTTGATTTTTGCTGAAAGGACAAAATGGCTCTTCTTAACATTTGGTCTAAACACTAAAGCCTGAGTAGACTGATAAATCAAGGAGATGAGCTAGTTATTAATATCAGTGTTACTGAATTCTTTAGAAAGATATTAATAACCTCCTCAGTAGTGGACATTTTTGCAAGTGATATGTTTAGCACTGGTGTACTGTACTGCTGTACAGGGGATTATGGGAGCAACAGTGAACTAAAGCTGATGATGATGCCGAAAAAAAAAATGTTGAGAATTTTTGAAACTTCATTTAAACGATAAGCAAAATTTCCATGAAACACATTAACAGAAGACTTACAAGAAGAAAACTGCCAAACAGTGAGGAACAGTGTTAAGTAAAAAAAAAAAAACATTTGTGTGATGTACCTTATAAATATGTACTCTAAATGTATTCTGATACTGTTTTGATGTTACTTGTCATGTACTGAAATGGGATATGTTACTGAATACATTCATGACAGTGTATTCAGTATTTAGCCATCACAAATTTTCAAAGTATTTTGCCCAACTCTACTTGTTTACTACAAAGCTACATTTTGGCATGGATGAAATTACATAGAAAGCTTGCTAAAGAAGACTGAGTCAGGTACATGTTTACTGTGGAAACATTATGGCCTGGTTGCTACATCAGATAAAAAGTGCATATAGTGTTTTTAGTATTAATAAAAGTATTTTCAGTATTGCTAGCATGTGAAGAAAATCATGTGTGAAGGTCTATAATTTGTGTGATGTGGTGGGCGGAGCCAAAAGGAGGAGAGTTCATTGGAAAAAACATTAAATAAATAGCCATCATTAATAACATTCACTTGTCTAAACTGCTGACATTATCAGCATAACAGTTTAGGAGAAAAGTGGAATCTTTGAATGTTTACATGAATTTCAGAAGGTATGTCCCCCCCTTTGGCTTGAATGGTGGCGTGTGCTTAGAGTATAAGTTCAGATCAAATCCACCTGAGAGCCTGATCTGATCGTGCTTCGATGGAAGGAAATATTTTTAAAAATCTGAACTTTCTGTACAAAAGCCTACACAAAGGCTCACTTTTGCTTCAATGTGAGTAGTGACCCAGAAATAGTGCAGAATTGTTCATTTTAATTGTTATAACTTTTTAAGATTCTAAAACTTTCTAATGTTTTTTACCAGGTTTAAATGAAAAAAAATCCAGCTTTTCAATGTACTCTCAGACTTTTGGACTCCATTGCATATGGACACCCCTTCTAATTAACAAATTAAGCTATTGTAAGGTGCAACCCATTGCTGACAGCTTGTATAATCTCCACAGGAAAGCATTGCCAGTAGGATGGGTTGCTCTGGAGCAGCCGCACATGCCTAATGCCAAATATCAGCTAAAACTCTCCAACATTGTGCTGTGGAACTGTTTTCTGTTATGGCAGATGCATACATCTGTGGGATGAGTCTGAGTGGCATTTATGATCCAGAACTAATCATTCAACATTAGTACCCGACCTCACCAATGCTTTTCTGGCTGAATGCAATCAAATCTTCAGAGCAATTTTCCAACATCTAATGTAAAGCCTTTCCTGAAGAGTAGAGGCAGTTACTTGCTTCCAGAAAAGGCCCTGGATGAGCAGGAATCAACAAACATTTGGCCATAAGGGTGTAGGTCATAGTATAAGCTCTTTTCACACATCTAACAGCTGGAACACTAATGTGCTGCAGAGTGGAACGTTTCTCTTTAGTATGGAAGGTGATGCTCCATTTATGTTACATCGGACATCCATCCTCATCCTGTTCATAAACAACAAAAGCTCCTGAAAAAAGTAAAGCTCCTCAGAAGTAATGGTCAAAAATCCTTCTAAATCCTTTATTTCACCTCAGCGAAATGGAAAGCATAAATATTCTGCAAACCAAACCACTATATACACAACTGTTTTCTTTTCACATGGAAAAGCTCTGAAAAAATGAGAAGAAACTGTACCACCTCTTACAGGGTTTGTAGTAGATTTTTTGCCCCCAAAACAGCTGTAGCAGGCATTTCAAACAATTCTCATATCTGTGTACCAAAATTAATGATTTATTATCTGTCAGTGGAGCAAAAACCCAAACTTGGTCTCCACCATTCACACTGCCAGAAGAGTAGAAATACAAAAACTCCAGGGATATTCCAGAAAGCAATCACACTTGCAAGCCTCAGCCACAAAGTGATGTGCCTTGTACAATGAAATACTGCATAACAGTAACATAAATCTACTGTAAACAAAACAGTGGACATTTAATACCGCTGCAACTACTATTCATTTTGGTCGACTACAATTGTACTCCTCTTCAGTGCTTCCACCCTTCACTTCACAATGACTCTGAGTGAAAAGAACCTCAAGTGACATCATCAAACTCGAAGCAACACATCCTAAAACCCAAGAGATTCCTCAAACAATAAAGACGGAAAACAAAAAACAAAAAACAAAACAAAAAACATAACATTATGTCGAATTTTTAATGTGCTGGCTCCCCCCCCACCTTCCAAATGGAGCAACCACAACTGAGGTTGATGGTTCACAGCGATACAGAGACCAAATTCCCATCTTCCACTCATATTTTTCTCTAATGTGAAGAGACAGCCCAACGGATGAGTGCATGTAAGTGCAATATTTTTTTATACAGCAAAAACAAAAGCAAAAGAAACATACATGCCATACATGGCAAGTTCAAGAGTATTTGCAGGAGTAGGCAGACAGTGTCATGAAAAAGAGAAAGAAAACAATCAGGCTGAGATGCTAACTTTAGTTTGTTTCAGTCATGTTTTGGAGGCATGAGAGAGGTGGGTTGAGAGAACGTTGGAACAGGGAGGGAGCAGAGGCTTGACTAAGAAAATTAGTCAATGTCCATTTCCGGCAGTTTGGCCTCTGCTGATTCTGGTGCAGGCTTGTCCTTCTCGGGGCTGTTGGGCTGAGCCTCTGAGCCCTCCTGTCCGTTTACTGGGCCATTCTGCTCAGGTGCCTTCTCTTCCTTGGGTGGCTCCACTTTGGGCTTGGGTTTGGAGACAGTGGGGTTGCAAGCAGAGTACAGTTCCTGAACAGAACATAAAATGTTTAGAAAACAGGACACAAAGCTTAAAAAAACAAATCTTCGGCCAACAATAAAAAGCAAAAGCAGGAATTTTCAACTGATCACATGAATCTTTGAACAGCAATTCTGCTAGTTTCTAGAGCTGAAAAGGATTAAGGCTTAAGACATGTTTTACCTTAACTGAATTGGAAAAAAAAAAAAAACTTTATTCTTATTGTTGCTATTATTTTTCGTCTTTTTCTTGCATTGTATGTGTTATTGTAACAATTGTATTTATTTTTACCTTTAATAAAACTTTGAATTACTACAAGGTAATGAAAAAAGATCACTGACAAATTTGCAGATTGCACTAAAATACTAAACCAGGGATCCCAACCAATCTGGCAATCCTGAACAGTGTGGCTCTTTAACCATCATCTTAAAAATGATGGTTATCATCATTTATAAAATCATCAATGAACA